CGCACATTCATTACAGGCCTAACACAAAGAGACGGAAGAATCAAACTGTCTTCATGAAAAAAATAAAAATGTCATAACCTTTAAACGAGGTGCCAAATGAGTTGCCGTACATTTTATATTACTGAATGATGCTGGAAAGGGTACAGAACATTTCATTAAAAGAGTGGTTCAATGTTTATAGTACTGTAATTATGAGATTCCATTCCCTATGAACTGACCTGATTCTTCCAGCCTCACTTTGGCCCTGAGATTGGCTCAGCCTCTATCAGGATTCGTGTTGGGAGGGTAAATCGCCCTCCGGCGTCTAAGACTGACCTCACCGCCATCTGTGAGCCGATTGCCTAGAAAATGTGAGATCCTCGACGTCTCACAAACTTATGGGGCTTCCAAGGCCTGTTACAGCGATAAACTTTGCTTCTTGCCAACATACGTATGAACAGAACGGTTAGACGGTTGGAGCTGAACACAGGAAGTGGGCTGGAAGAAGAGGCATAACTGTTCGAGGAAGATATAGATGGCGTTGATCCGTAGGATTGCTTTCCGAGGACTCAAAAGAGTAAAATTACTGTACACTTTAGTGCCTACTAATGTTCCATAGTTGCAGTGACGTTTAACAAGAGCATGATCTCATCTTTTACGCTTGACTGCTGAAATAACAATAAGCACATTTATTGCATGAGAGGACAATAATTTTATTGTCCAAATTAGCTTCCTAAATAAAATGATATTCATCAGGACTAATTCAAGGCTGAAATCAGAGCTCAAGCAACTGTGTAATAATCCTCATTCAGTTTACTGTAATAAATTATGCAGACAGAAAATTGCATGGGTTTCTCGAGCAAAACAAACAGGAAGCAAAGTAAATGGTTAGACAGCCATGTTCACGGAACCCTTCATTACGTTGATGGACCAGAGTCAGGAAATTGAGCTTTAGCGTCAGTTATTATTGTTTGTTTTGTGTGCCAGGTGATTGAATGTGACAGCAGGCTAGAAAGGAAGTCATAGAACCGATGTGCATTTTGTACCGCCATTTTATATAATGCTTAAAAGCTGGAAGACTGAGTGTAAAACTAACTTGTTCTCTAAATCAAGCAGTGACTGAACCCTGTACCTCACAAATGCAGACAGCGACTTTGATACCAAACGTAATAGATTCATTTTGTTCAGGGAAACACCGAAGATTTCTGTGAGAATCATACAAAACACGTAAACACACCCTCTCGGAAAAATAGGAAGTTTCTGAAAGTCAAATGATGCTGAACACATAGTTGCTGCTGTCTTTGAAAGCGTCAATACATGCTTTTATGGGGGCGAAATTTTGAACCTCATGGGAGAAAAATATTTTCAGCCCGTATTTCTTTCTAGAGAGGAGCCTGGATAGCTTAGTCGTTATTTCAAAGAGAAATATTATGCATAATTTCAACTTTATAGCTTATCATTAGCAACTTATATGATTTTACCTTCAGATGATAAAAAATATTACTACTTATTAACCCTTAACGCTATTCTCTACGCGATAAGTTTAAATATTTCGACAAAGTTTCTGAAAGCTTCCATATCAGTCAGGTCTGAAACTATGGCAAAATAATATCTATCTGTCTGTCTCTCTATCTATCTATCTGTCTATCTATCTATCTCTCTATCTGTCTGTCTATCTATCTGTCTCTCTCTATCTATCTATCTGTCTGTGTGTATATCTATCTGTCTGTCTGTCTGTCTATCTATATGTCTGTCTGTCTGGTTATCTACCTATCTATCTGTCTGTATCTCTGTCTGTCTGTCTATCTATCTATCTTATGTCTGTTTATCTCTCTCTCTATCTATAGCTCTAGAGTCCTTTTGCTGGACCTTGGCCGCTTTTTCAGTTTTTCAGTCCATACACAGGTGATACGATTCCATGAACGAGGGTTCAGACTGTCACAAGGCCACTATCAACACAAACACAGAATAAACCCAGACATCCATTCCTTGAGTAGGATTCGAACCCATGATCACAGCGTTCGGGCGAGTGAAGAGAGTTTATGCATTAGATCCCGCGGACACTGTGACCGGCAGAAAAATCTCTAGAATCCACGAATTAAAGAACGTCGTGATTCTTGGATTAATTAACGAGCTGTTTCAAGTAATGAAATTGTAAGATGATTTTGATTGACGAAACAAACAAATGTGACCTTGGGACCAAACAATTTATAAGATACCTTTAAAATCCTTACCACATTTAAAAAACTTTATCAAAGAAGCGTTAAATTTGTGTGTATGTTGGCCAGTATGGTCTGATTGTTCCACATAGGCTGCAGTTTCAGTGCGGTTAAATGTCTTGTCAGGCAGTAGATTTATTCACATGTGGAAATGCTTCATAGCTGTTTTATGGGATCCCTTTCATTTAGTTTCATGTAATTGCTTGCTTACCTGCAGGTCACGTGTGCCACATAATCTCACACGTCGTCTCGTCGTTTTCTACCGAAAGAATTGTTTTTGAATCCGCAATTGTAGTTTACTACAACAGAATATATTAATTAATTAATGAATTGGCTTACAAAGCTCTTAATTCACCAGCAGTTAGCAAAACTCAATTTTTATATTACGTTTAAGAGAAGAGATTGTATATAGTTTTGATTCCGTGTTAAATGCGGCAGAACAAATACCCCTTTCAGTAAGTGCTGTTACATACGTTCGTCTTATGAGCTCTCACAAATTATAAGGCAACTACATTATATATTTTTCGAAATTAAATTGCAATGTAGAAATAACAGAAAACAGCCAATAGGATGCAAATCTACTATAGTCAGTGGCGGTTTGTTCACCATATTTCCAAAACATTTTGAGGTTCCGACTTTCTGAGCTGTGATGCATGTAGTCTAGTACAGACACTTGGATTGAGTCCCCTGGTGTAGAAACCAGTACAATAAACCTTTGTTTCCGCCTACCGGGGAGCTCGAATAATTGTAGAGGCTATTGCTTCATTTCTGTAGACTATTGGGTTATATACTGATATCATGAGATTTGCGTATTTCAAGTAATTTCAAAATGCATATTATAGTCTCTCGTATCATGGTTAAAGTTCAGCCTAATCCGGGTTTGCAAGTGCGCAAGTCATGGTGACTTCTGAACAGCAATTGCGTTGGCTTGGGCAACCCGGGGGAGGGGACAGCGATTTTCGAAAAACTTCCATAATTGATATTAAATTTATAAGCTTCCAAAAGTAACAAGAGGATTGTTCTTTACTTTTTCAATATTATTTTTATGAATTCAAGCTCTTTATAAACTAAATCACGGGAGACTGAGATTCATGCTTGGGACTGGGACAGCGACCGCGCATGTGCGCAACTTAGAGGGAACATTGATCATGTCCTCCATTTTGTTATTTGGTTGCGAAGTTATGAGAGGAAAACATTTTCTACATTCTTAACCCTGAAGAATAATGTAGTATGTTGCTCCGAAACCATAGTACCCACCTACAGAACTACAGAGTATCATAATCAATGGTACCGTGTGTGTGTGTGTGTTGAACGCTGTTTCCATTGGCTGATTAAGTGCAAGGATGGTGATGTAAATTCTGCCAGTCGTTTCTTGTAGTTGTCAGCTTACCTATTTATTCATTCTAAAAATATAAATTGGCCTTATACGTGTCGTCTAAGGGATTCATCTAATTAAAACTTACAAAACACTGTTCACACTGCCTCGTAAGTGACTGTGAGGGGCTATATTTCCAAAGGGAGAAGGAGGGAGCAAACTGGAATCAGCGATAGCTTGGTGGTGAGGCAGCCAGCGTTGAGTCGCTCGGAAGAGAGATGTTCACAGTTGTTGAAATGAGACAACCTGCTTGAAATATGTGGACCCCATGTCTCTGGACCGCTGGAATGTCACACAGGCGTCAAGAACCACTGATACTATCAAACGTTGCTGTGGGGTCCATTTTATTTCAACTGTTTTGTCTCTTGTTTCTTTTCTTTTTTTTTTTGTAACCCTGATTAATGGAAGGCCCCGTCAAGGTCATTCGATAATTGATCAACAACCGATCACAATTTCGAGCCAACAAAGACCGATCAATTTAAAACCAGATTTTAGAAACGGAAACTTGACAATATATTTTCAGCTTGTTTTCAGCATCAGTGGAAGCCTTCAGACTATGCAGAACAAGACAGAGAAACAGCAGTCTGTACACAGATCCTATATGCGTGTCACGGATCTTACTTACTCATGGAGCTGAGCCCTTCTGGAGTATGCGCCAATTCAGCAGCTACTCAAGAATTTCCCAGCATTTTTTATGGAACTCGAAGGTTCATTACCGTGTTCACAAGAGCCTTCCACCGGTCCCTATCCTGAGCCAGATTTATCCAATCAATACCATCCCATCCTATCTCTCTAAGATCAATTCTAATATTGTCCACCCACCGACGCCTTGGTCTTCCCTGTGGTCTCTTTCCTTCTGGATCTTAGCTTTCTGAATCCTCCTAGGCCTTTCGAATAATTCCGATGTAGAACAACTTTGTTTCTATGGTTACTTAGGTTACTATGGTTTTATTTTTACAGTGGTTACTGAAATTGAACAGCAGATATAGCGTCGCTTCTATCTCATAAATACCCCTCAGTAATGTTTTTATTTCCAGCTGCAGGAAATTTAAAAATATCCAGTTTCGGGTGACCTACAGTGACATAGAGATCATGTTAGGTTTATTCATGGCACATCCCGTGGTTCTTGAGTTGAAAAATGAGGACAAACAGGACTAATCTCCGTTTTATCTCGACTCAAAATAAGCTAAAGAAAGTTTAGATATATAAAGATTATTTTACATTTAACTCTACAGTTTTGGAGTAATTCCTTGTGGGAACACCCCACGACTAGCTTATGGATTTGGAAAGTATTGTACGTAATAACCATATCGTTAACAAGGAAACAAAAAATTGTCAGCCTCAGGGGAATACAATCAGACATATACAGAAAATTGGTGATCATATGTCTATATTTTTATCTTCAACGTTCTTGAGTGTCATTCATGAAAATGAATTTGGATCTTGGAACTCAGCACGTAAATTTGTGTATTTTGTTTCAATTAAAAATACGTACATTTATTTGATGAGGTTACATGGAACTACACACTAGAGTGTGGTGTATATACAAGAGGTGGCAAGATACATTAATATTTACAATATGTATACATGGCACATCAGAGAGGCGACACTGCCACACAGAAGAAAATGCTGGCCTTTTTGACTAGGTTCGTCGGTACCTGTGGTCACTTGCCGCTACATAGTCATATGGCGCTTCATATGCAGCGAGAGGTGGTCGGAGCGCGAGAACGCCCTCTCGCAGAGCCGGCACTGGAACGGCCGGTCGCCGGTATGCTTACGGTAGTGGCGAGTCAGCTCGTCCGAGCGAGCGAACTTCCAGCCGCAGCCCTTCCAGCTGCACTGGTACGGCTTCTCGCCCGTGTGCGTGCGCAGATGGGCCTTCAGGTGCGACGATTTGGTGTAAGTCTTGCCGCACCCGGGATGAGAACACGTGTGCACAATTACTTTCCTTCTACTCCAGTTCCTCCGACGTCGAGGCTTCGCTGGAGGCGGCTGCTCCGAAGTTCCTGGTGAGGGTGGTGGTGGTATGGGATTTCTAAGATGTGAGTGCGAGTGCGGTTGTGAGAGCGGATGTTGATGAGGCCCTAGGAACGACCCTGTCGCATTCTGTAAATGCCCAGTAAGGTGTGGAGATGATGGTGGTGTAAGGATTTTGAAGTGGGGGACCTGCGTATGCCGGTTGTGGTACAAGTCGGCGTAATTCGAACCGGAAGGATGATGATAGAATGCGTGGCAAGCATCTGGAGTGGCCGGTGGAGAGATTTGTCCGAAGGGAATGTGAGCAGAAGGAGGGCCTCCAGTTGCATTTTGAAGGTATGACTGTCCGACGTAGGGAGGCGGTCCGAAGGGCTGTATGCTTCTGTGTGCTGCCGGATACGAATAGCTGGCCATATTCTGGCGCTGTAAGTAGATCTGCTCCGGTGACGAAGAATCAGGCATCTCTGACTTTATTTTGTTGCAGACAGGAGGGAAATACAGGGAGGATGGTTCTGGTTTGCTCGTTGCGAAGTCCTCCTCCCCAGATGAGGAAGGCAGGTAGAAACTGTTTGGCGAAACTACTGGAACTTGTTGATCTCCTGCCCCAGATCTACAGCCAGATTCGTTGTAGTAACCTGGTTCTATGGGAGAACAGGAATTGGCAGGAAAGACACAATCTACCTCGAGTTTACCTCCAGGACCAGGGATGTTGTTTGGACTCTTGCTCGAGTACATTGCAGGAGGTGGATCTGTGGGCCCGTCAGCCATGTGTGCGTGTACTGGACCACCAACTCCCAGGATGACCGTTTCAATGTCTTGCCACATCTGAAAATAGCAATATGATACCAGTACTCTTCAAGATACACCTATGTAGGAAGAAAATCTGAGTTAGTCGCAGTTCTCACATCGGTAGGGAACAAAATTACAGTTTTGAGTTTAACTCAGAAGGTTATATTGTTGCATCCTTTTGCTGAATACACAACGCAGCATGAGGAAACATCCAGCAAGAAGAAAAGAAGAAATATGAGATAAGACTACACGTTGAATTTTAGAAGCGCAAAACACAAGCATAACAGCCTCCTCAAAGAGTTAAAAAAACACCTGATGATGACCAGTAACGGTCGAAACATGTAGTGTAAAGTATAGTTTTAAACAGCTTTAAACGACACAGAGATATTGGGTTTTCGGATTTTATCCATCGTCCTGGTTTTAAGATAACTAAGAAAAACACGACGTTTCGGAAACTGGATCTGTTTCCGAAACGTCGTGTTTTTCTTAGTTATCTTAAAACTAGGACGATGGATGAAGTTCGAAAACCCAATATCTCAGTGATATACACCATCGTCAGAACCCTATAGTAACTAGATTTAAAGGACAAACTGTGTACGTGTAGTAATTTTTAAACAATGATTTAAAGCAGTGTTTCATGTCAGACAGAATAGCAGAGATAAATGTGAATTAATTAACGGAAAGGGATAGAGATGAAGTGAACCAAGGCTGCAACAATACACAGCTGAGGCCGAAAAGCCGAGAATGAGTATGTGAATTACCCGCCTTAATATCCCCCCAGTCGTACAGTAACTGAGGCGGCTATTTGCCGATTTCCGACAGCGAAGGCCTGGCTTCGATCCCACGCCAGTTCATGTGACATTTGTTGTGCGTAATTTTTTTAATGCTAGTGGGGTGAGACTAAGTCCCTTGCACTGCGGCCACTTCTGGCCTATTGTACCAGCCCCAGGTGACAGGTGAGGGTGATTGTGGAGCAATTGGTGGAATGAAGATTGGCAGGGGAAGCCGAAGTACTCTGAGAAAAGCTGCCCCAGCGCCACTTTGTCCACCACAAATCCCAATTGACCAGACCCGGGTTCGAACCCGGGCCGTCGCGGTGGGAAGCTAGTGACTAACCACTTGAGCTATGGCGCGGCCTTTGTGGTGCATAAAGTAAATTAGTGGGGCTTCCTCCAAGCATGTCTAGACCCCTGCCAATTGTCATTCCACCAACTGCCTTATCACCATATCATCAAGGTGATGCAGTCTTGACGTTGGCATTGTCGCAAAACAAACAACTTAAAAATGTTACGGAGTTTGTGTTAAAGGCTCTCGTATGATTCGTAACTAAACAGTGGCTATTTTCTTATTTCGAATTTGATGTTTTTATGGAGACGCAGTGTGTTTTCTCCGATGTAGGATCTGATTTCTTTGGAACACGCGGTGGCGTATTTGGTTGAGGCACTATGCTACAAGCCGGAAGGTCGCGGGTTCGATTCCAGATGTTCCAGATGAGGTCATTGGATTTTGCAATTGACCAATCCTTCCAGCCGCAATATGGCCCTGGAGTCGACTCAGCCTCTAACAGAAATGAGCACCAGGAATCTTCCTGGGGGGTAAAGGGCTGCCGACGTGTAAGACTGACAACCTCACCGCCATCTATGAGCCGATTGTCTAGAAAATGTGGGAGCCTCAACATCTCACAACCCTGTGGGCCTCCACAGCCGGTTACAGGGATAGTTTACCTTTTTACTATAGGATCTCAGTTCTTATGTATTGATCCTATAAATTTTTTATTTTAATTATTCTGGTCCGGCACATTAGTCAATATTATAGAAATGATTTGACTACACCGTCCAGTTTGACTAAAAAAAATTAATGCCATTATATGTTTCGGTCAATTGATGAGCATTTTCAGAAGGCAAATAACACTTGAGAAAACTAATATTGCATAAACCACAGTACATCAAGTTCAGAGTTGTCTAAAGTTTTGTATATCAAGATTTTAAATTAAGCTAAAATGTAGTGAGATAATATATTAATACAATTCTTAATATGTAATATCTTAAACCGCTAAGTTTCTTGTCTTCGTGCCCTTCTATCAACTGGAGATTGGGTAGATTGCCGCTCTTGGAGGTCCGGGCAGTGTTTTATCTCCTTTATGTAGTTGGTTAAGAGTCTGTGTTTGTTGTTGGGCTGTTTCTCTTTCGCCGTTTGGTGACGCACGGGACGGCATTGTTGTGATTAAGTAGTTACGTTTCCTAACTTGTTTCCTATTGCTGCTGTTGAAGATACATGTAGTTACACTAATTTTGAAGCGTCCTGAAGTAAGTAGCGCTCGTTTATCTGTACAGACTTGGTATTATATTTAGGGTTTATCGTTATCTTCATTACGTATTTCTTGCCAGTGTTTCTGTCTTCGTCTTTAGTTCATTACAGTCTGTTGGTCATGCTCGTGGCTCCAGTTCAGCACGCGGCAAAGTAAGTAAGCAGTAACCAAGTGAGCCGCCAACCTTGTAGTACTTGTTAACCTTATGTGAGTTATTACATCAGAAAGTCATCGGTGTTATTTGCAATTTGATACCGTACTAGCCATCTGATAACTTATTGACAACTTTATTACACAAATATCGTTATGGATTTGTTGAAAACATGAAGTTACGGAGCCAGAATAAAACGTTAACTAAGCACGTTCCAGCAAACACGTGGCCAACAATACGGGATCGCTGCTAGGCAGCAGCCAGCGCGCCAATGTACTGGTTGGGTAGTGATCACGTGGGAACTGTGGCTGTTCAGTGTGTTTTCTGTGTGGTCCGTGCGGCGGCTATATAATGGGAGTCTCTATCTGTAAGGAGGCTGTGTGTGGGTCATAAGAGACAATCCCATCTTGTCGTCAGAAAGGATGTTACATAAGAACTATTACCTTATGGGTTCCGCTGGAAAAATCTTTGTTCGTGGCCTCAAGGGGCCTGACGCCAAGATGAACTGATTGTCGGTAAATCGCCAGTCGTAAAGTAACTTCGACTTCGACGTAGGGAGGCTCTGGAGGCGAGTTCGAATACCTCCACTCTATCCCTGCGAGTCATACGTGACAACGAAGAGAGAACCAAATTCCAGGATGTATAGTGACTGGGCCACCCTGTTCCTGGGGGATATAAATATGGGGGCCTGGCTCTCCAGGCTGGGGAAGTCTCGAATTTGAGGCAGTAGAATATGTCGAGAGTCCCGCGGGACTTGAACCTGAGAATGACTGACCTGGCGAGAGCCAGCCGCAATTGTAAACTACATAACCACCTTCTCGTCATAGAGGATATTACATAAGGATTATAAAAGCGAGTCTAAAGGGGCTTTTAGGCAAGACGAACTGATTGGCTGTGAACCGCCCGTCGTAAAGTAACTCTGCCTCTGACTCTGATGCTAGGGACGCAGAAGAAGAAGAGACAATTGGAACTGGGAGTTCAGAAGAGAGAGATTTGGAGCCAGGAGAACAGCCATTGTGGAGAGCTGTTACTAAGTAAGGACTAGTGAGGCCGCGTCATAGCTCAAGCAGTTAGTCGCTAGATTCCCACCGCAGCGACCTAGGTTCGAACCAGGGTCTGGTCATGTGGGATTTGTGGTGGACCCAGTGACGCTGTGGCAGGATTTTTCCGAGTATTTCGGTTCCTCTGCCAATCTTTATTCCACCAATTGCTTCCTTATCATCATCATTATCATCTACCATCTGGGGCTGGTACAATAGGCCAGTAATGGCCGCAGTACAAGGGACTCAGTCTCACTCCATTAAGAACAATGAAAAAAGTAAAAACCAGTGGAAATAGACGGCGAAAACTTAGTGCTGAGTGATTTTTAGTATGGAAATCAGCAATGGCGTATTAATTATTTTTAGTTACGAGCTATACGTGATCAGTAAATTTATTTACCAATCCACACCACGTCTACAGTCATTAATACACGGGACAATATTATAATGCGGTAAATACTGGTAAACGGCTACTGGTAGCAGATTTCATCGGAACTTCATTTCGATGTAAAGCAGAGGAAGTCCTGGCTACTGGAGGGATAACACCGTCACTGGAAACTGGATACTTTACGTTTTCAAACAATGACTCAAAGATATCTATAAATTAGAGACAAAGGAAGTACATTGACCTTGTGCTGAATACCATGCCATGAAGTCGGAGACTTCTGAGTAAGGTGTGTATGAGTGATCAACATAAAACCCACAAGCATATAACCATAAGCTATCATATTACCTGCATACAACTAACATTTAAGTTTTGGCTTTGTGACGTCAGATAGGTGGACACCACTGGTCTGGTCTTCATATTGCCTTAATTTTAAAGATATGAAGTACATGGATACTGAAGATGGAGATTTAAATTTGGGCCGAAAGATTGATAAATACTTACAGAACAACGTACTCTATATGCATATTTCACTGCCTTGGAAATATCATACGGTATACACTACAGACGCCGGTCACGGTAGCCGAGCGGTCTGAGGCATGCACTGTCTTCGCTCGCTCGGAAACAGGGATCGTGGGTTCGAATCCCACTCAGGACATGGATGTTTAGTTTGTGTGTGTGTGCGTGTTTCTGTGTTTGTGTACAGGTAGAGGTCTTGCGACGAGCTGATCACCCGCCCAAGGAGTCCTACCGAGTCTGTAAGATCTAGAAAAACCGAAGTGAACGGAGAAGTTCATGGAGGTAGGCGTAGGCCCACTGGGGCTGTAGTGCCAAGCAAAAAATAATACACTACAGACTACTAATTCAGAGATCCAGTAATATACGTAATAAAGACCAATCGTAGAAAAGACTGTTGTATTAATGGTGATGATAGTAGATCTACTTAACACGTGTGATCCTAAATTACCGTAGCGACTGGATGTATGTCAAGCAGACGACAGTAAGGTAAGTAGTGGTAATTAGCTGGGCTTCGTCGGGGTCAGCAACATATTTTACAGAAACAAAGATGGGAGCTAAAAGATAATAAGTAAAGCTGTCCCTATAACAGGCCCATAGGGTTTTGAGACGTCTAGGTCCTCACATTTTCTAGAC